ATGCATATACACTATATTGCCAAAAGTATAAGGACGCCTGCCTTTATACGCACATGTACTCAGTCTTAGTCTGAAGGGTTCAATATTAAGTTGGCCCACCCTTTGCAGCTATAACAGCTTCAACTTTTCTGGGAAGGCTGTCCACAAGCTTTAGGAGTGTGTCTATGGGAATGTTTGACCATTCTTCTTCCAGAAGAGCATTTGTGGGGTCACGCACTGATGTCGGACGAGAAGACCTGGCTCACAGTCTCCACTCTAATTCCTCCCAAAGGTGTTCAGTCGGGTTCAGGTCAGGACTCTGTGCAGGCCAGTCAAGTTCCTCCAACCTAAACTCACTCATCCATGTCTTTATGGACCTTGCTTTGTGCAGTGGGTGCATAGTCAATTTGGAACAGGAAGGGGCCATCCTCAAACTCTTCCCACAAAGTTGGGAGCATGAAATTATCCAAAATGTCTTGGTATGCTGATGCCTTAAGAGTTCCCTTCACTGGAACTAAGGGGCCAAGTCCAACCCCTGAAAAACAACCTCATACCCTAATCCCCCCTCCACCAAACGTTACACTTGGCACAATGCAGTCAAGCAAGTACCGTTCTCCTGGCACCTGCCAAACTCAGACACGTCCATCAGATTGCCAGAAAAGGAAGTGTGATTCATCACTGCAGAGAACACGTCTCCACTGCTCTAGAGTACAGTGGTGGCATGCTTTACACCACTGCATCCGATGCTTTGAATTGCACTTGGTGATGCAAGGCTTGGATGCAGCTGCTCGGCCATGGAAAACCCATTCCTTGAAGCTCTCTAAGCACTGTTGTTGTGCTAATCTGAAGGCCACATGAAGTTTAGAGGTCTTTAGCTATTGACTCTGCAGACAGTTGGCGACTTCTGTGCACTGTGCGCTTCAGCATGCGCTGACCTCTCTCTGTCATTGTACGTGGCCTACCACTTCGTGGCTGAGTTGCTGTTGTTTCCAGTTGCTTTCGCTTTGTTATAATACCACTAACAGTTGACCATGAAATATTTAATAGCAGGGAAATTTCACTGATTGCACACGTGGCAACCTATCACGGTACCATGCTTGAATTCATTGAGCCCCGAGAGCGACCCATTCTATCACAAATATTTGAAGAAGCAGTCTGTATGCCTAGGTGCTTGATTTTGTACACCTGTGGCCATGGAAGTGATTGGAACACCTGAATCCAATGATTTGGAGGGCTGGCCCAATACTTTTGGAAATATAGTGTATGTACGTAAGAAAATAGGAGGGTTCTGTTCAGTTAGTTTAGCAATTTACACACATCTTCCATGCTGTATAGCCATGATGGCGACACTCTTCTGTATTGCAGCCTTAGAACCAACTGTAACAGTAATGTTGTAGTCTTCCCTGTGCCCTACTTCTTATGACAGCTACCGTAAAGACGTCCCACATCCAGCTCAACTGGAGTTGTTCCATCCACAAACCTGAAGCTGCCTCAACACATATTAAAAAAAAAATCTCAAATATATTCTGTCTTCTGATAACATCAAGCATCCTCCATGTTGTGCTCTAATGGCAGCAATGGGCAGTCCTTACTACAACACAAAGGGGTTACTTTATTAAAATTGGAGAGTGCAAAATGTGGTGCAGCTCTGCATAGAAACCAATCAGCTTCCAGGTTTTTTTTTTTTGTCAAAGCTTAATTGAACAAGCTGAAGTTAGAAGCTGATTGGCTACCATGCACAGCTTCACCACATTTTTCACTCTCCAGTTTTAGTGAATAAACCACTTAGCATTGCTTACATAATATTAATCTTCCATGCTGCAGTAATGTGAGACCAGGTGGAGTAATGACACTGCCCTAGGGGGTGTGCCCATGACATCCTGGGCTCAGAGGAAGTAGTTTGAATGAAACTGGCTATCATTTAACCCAGAAGAGGAGCACCATCTACTGGGAAGGGGGTGGGGGGCAGCTCTGCTTGAAGGTGAGTATTACAGCAAGAGTTGTTTTTTTGTCTTTTTGTATGTTGAGCATTTTTTAATAACTACCTGGAATTCAGTTTTAGGTATCATAATCCAGAACAGGGAAAGCTGCTTTGTTTAAGTCAAACCAAAAATGAGTGCTGTATTTTACACATTTATTTTCTTTGCAATGTATTGCATATCGATATACGGTAGTTATTTAAATGTTAACAGGCATTGCTTTTTATATAGGGTGTCATTTTGATGTTTATGTATGAATGATATGATATAACCTGAAATGCTGCTTTAATCAAACTAGTGTACAATACAAGTTTGTGTTTCCTGGGTGTAATTAATCATCTAATATTGATGATCTGCTTTCCATTTATTTATTTGACTTTTGGGTTGTGTTGTTTGCCCTCACCTTCTGATCAGCTGGTGTGTGGGTAATATGGAATTTATCCCTGTCCATTGTGAGCTATTGGCCTAGATTTTCATAATTAAAAGTTGGCAGGTTCATAGCAGAGAACAATGGATATCAGTGTAATATGATAATAAAACGTTGTTTGTCATACAGTACTCTGCTGAATTGACTTATTGAGCTATCAACAGCAACAGCAAATAGATATAGATATCAATCTATATATAAAAAAACATTAATGTTTTATTCTAAACAGAATAATGTGTGAATATGTTGTTTAGTTACATGCTGTGGGTATTATGCTTAAAAAAAATAATAATACAAAATAAAAATATATATATATATATATATATATATATATATATATATTTATTTTTTAATTAAAGAGTAACTCACTGATTATCCCATAAGTCTGCACTAAGATAAAAGTCATAGGCGTCCTTTGATACAAAAAATAAATTTTTGGTGAGCTACTCTCAAAAGGTAATTACTTCTAAAGGGATATAAAAAACCTTTTTGTTATCCTATCCGTGAATTCCCAATATTAACAAATAAATAAAAATATATATATAATAAATCAGATAAATATAAGATGAATGACAATAAATAAATCAATCCATGCATAAACCACTAATTCATAACGTGTCCAATTAAAGTCCAAAAATTGAAATTCCAAACTCAATGCGGTAGGAAGGATTTCGATCCTAAAATAATCCATGTGAAACCCTCTGGGAGTATTCATATGCATAGCCAATAACTCTGGCACCAGTAATCTTCTAATTCCTTCACTTCAGGAGTTGATCCTCCAAAATCCTCATAAAGATAAGAAGACTCTTATAACAGATATCCAAGTATAGGGATTCAGATGAAGTCCAGCTGTGATGAAACGCGTTAAGGGAGGTGACCTCAAGACGCACGCACGTTAACCGGAAGTGTCGCCGCTGCCATTTTCTTGGTTGACAAAACGTGGTTTTCTATTCCCATTGTTTGCAGGGCTGGTCCTGAGTTACCCAGAGAGCTGGAAGTTGTGAACTTTTATGTAAGTTTTGAATAAAATTATCCCTATACTTGGATATCTGTTAAAAGAGTCTTCTTATCTTTATGAGGATTTTGGAGGATCAACTTCTGAAGTGAAGGAATTAGAAGATTACTGGTGCCAGAGTTATTGGCTATGCATATGAATACTGAATACTGCCAGAGGGTTTCACGTGGATTATTTTAGGATCGAAATCCTTCCTACCGCATTGAGTTTGGAATTTCAATTTTAGGAATTTAATTGGACACATTTGAGACTTTAGTTTTGGACTTTAATTGGACACATTATGGATTAGTGGTTTATGCATGGATTTATTTATTTATTGTCATTCATCTTATATTTATCTGATTTATTATATATTATTTATTTATTTGTTAATATTGGGAATTCACGGGTAGGATAATAAAAAGGTTTTTTTTTATATTACTACTTTCTAGGGAGAAAGTGTGACTTTTTGGTGAGGGTTTATGCCTAGAGGTGATTCATTCATTTACTTCTAAAGGGATGCAACTTGCCTCATTAGAACACTGCAAGTGCATCAGCTGATTAATAATGAAAAAGTCGCTCCCATTCAGATTCACTCTGCACATAACAAACAGGTATGACTCTGCAACAAAATGTGTTAAAATCCCCGCAGTGTACATGTGGATTGTTTTTTTTTTTTTTCAAATCAAAAGGGGAACTATCCCTTACATAATGAGAACAATTTCAATTGAGCCACTGCAAATATGCATTAACTTTGTTCGTTATCACTCAGCTACTGAACACCAGTAAGGGAAAAACAAGATAATGATGATCTTGCTGTTTAGTTATACAGCTAATATGCTTTATTATATTTTTTCTTTGTTTACTTTAATTAATTTTTTAAGTAATGAGAGTTTTTTCTTTAATTCAGGTACTGTAAATACTTCATATATTTCACACTTGGCAACTGCAGAAAAGCTACGTGTTGAAATTAGACTTATAGTCATTACTATGCAGAGAGTAAGGAGTGGTGATATCTAGATGGGCTCAGGGTGGTGGAGGTTATAGTAAACCTTTATGCTGTCTTTGAACTCCAGCCAAAATTTTATTTTTATTCTTACATTTTTTTAGTTTTGACACCTGTTATCAAGACAGGAAATTTCATCAGAGGCAATTAAAACCTGACAATGTTTCTAACTTTTCTCTACTCTGATCTATATTTTTGTCCATTTTAATATTGGATATTTATTTATTTATTTTATCGAGTTTATATAGCGCCAAAGGGTTTGCTCAGCGCTGTACAATAGAGGAGGGGATATAATTTTATTAGTTCCTGTCATGGTGACAGGTATTGAAAAAAACTCCAACTGCCTCCATGATGACACCCCTTAGGTGTATTATAGGTAAAAAAGTAGAGGATATATCCCTAAGAGGAAACAGATAGCAAGAAAACTTATACTGGGTTTAGGCCTTGCCAACTCTATCCAAAAATAATAGTTTGGCTTCAACTTGGATTGCTATCTGCTGAACTGCTTTGATGTCTTTGTTGCTCCTTATTCAGAACAAAAAAAAATTGATTCTGTGCAAAGTACAAAGATCTTCATAACATATTTGATATTTGTGTTACTTTTGCAGAGACACCATGTCTAAGGGTCCAGCAGTAGGCATCGATCTGGGCACCACCTACTCATGCGTAGGTGTTTTCCAGCATGGAAAAGTGGAGATTATTGCCAATGACCAAGGAAACCGTACCACCCCAAGCTATGTGGCCTTCACAGACACAGAGAGACTTATTGGGGATGCCGCAAAGAACCAAGTAGCCATGAACCCAACTAATACCGTCTTTGGTAAGCCTGTGTTCTGTTGGATTTCATCATCTCATATACAATTGCAGCACCTTGTCTCTTGGATTGGTGTAGTTTCTTACTAGGAGAATCTTTCAAATCTTCTCAAACACTGCTTGCAGACATGTAGTTGTCTCAAATAATGACTGAGAATTTCATCTACAAATCAGTAAGGAAGCTGAGTTAAAATTTTGTTAGTTGGAATGGCTGTTGGTTGGTAGCTTGTACCTCTTTCTAGGGTTACTTTTTTGGTTTACTTTTTTGGACAAGTGAGAAAGGTTTTTGAGCTGGGTATTTGTAATTTCTATGGAATATGACATGTTAACATGCCGCTGATATCAGACTGGTTTGTATTACAGATGCCAAGCGGTTGATTGGCCGACGTTTCGATGACCCAGTTGTCCAGTCTGATATGAAGCACTGGCCTTTTACTGTAATAAATGATGGTGGTAGACCCAAGGTTCAGGTAGACTATAAAGGAGAGACAAAGACATTCTATGCTGAAGAAGTCTCATCTATGGTTCTTACCAAAATGAAAGAGATCTCTGAGGCCTACCTAGGAAAAGTAAGTTTACTAATACAAACAGTAACATGTACAGTCTATGGGAGCAGTAGACATGCATCGGCTTGCTGCTCTCTCAGATCTAATGTTCCCTTTAAGATAAGACACGGATGGGAGGTGCACCCCTCTTGCTCTGTACTTGCTTCTTACTCTCAAATATATGCAAACAAATCTTTGGTGGCTCAAGCAAACATTTTTACGTTTGTAACGTTCAAGAAAGACCTCTTGAAATGGGCAATTTGTGATTTCACGTCCTATTTAAATCTAAGGTCTATGACCGCCTTTTGTGTCCATCAGTTCATGTCGTCATGGCAACCAAAATAGGAGGTCTATGGTTTCTTTTAGTAAGAAGTGTGCACTCTGTATTCTGCAATACACAGCTGTTTGATAACCTCTAGCTGAGATTTTTTTCTTCTTCGACAAAATGTAAATGAATGAGATGTTACTTCTAACATTAAGAAAATCACTTTCTCTTAGTGATTTAATTCCTACAGGATAAGAAATAGAAGCACCACTCCACGTATTAAAAGTCCAGAATTATGTTTTACCTATAAATAAGAAAAATAAAGAAAATATGTTCCACCTTCTTAACCACTTACCCTAGTGATGATTTACCCCCCTTCCTGACCAGGCCTTTTTTTGCTATTTGGTGCTGCACTATTTCAAATGGTAATTGCGCTGTCATGCAATGCTGTACCCAAACTAAATTTAGGTCCTTTTTCACACAAATAGAGCTTTCTTTCGGCGGTATTTGATCACCTGTGCACTTTTTATTTTTTGCGCTATAAACAAAAAAATAACAGAACATTTTGAAAAAAAAAACAATATTTTTTACTTTTTGGCTATAAAAAATATATAGTAAGCTCAAAGTTAGACATACATTTAGGCCAAAATGTATTCTGCTGCATGTTTTTGGTAAAAAAATCCCAATAAGTGTATTTGATTGCTTTGTGTCAAAGTCATAGCATCTACAAACTTTGGTATAGATACTGCAATTTACACCATTTTTTGCTATACAGCACTACACTAGTTTAACTGACAATTGCATGGTCATGCAATGCTGTACATAAATTAAATTTATGTCTTTTTTTTCACACAAAAACAAAAAGACATACAATTTTGAAAAAAAAAATTATGTTTTCTCATATCTGTCATAAAAATATCTAAAAAACTCAAGTTTTGTCATAAATTTAGGCCAAAATGTATTCTGCTACATGTTTTTGGTAAAAAAATCCCAATAAGTATATATTGATTGCTTTGTGTGAAAATTATAGCATCTACAAACTAAGGTATAGATCATGGAATTTACACAGCTTTTACTTTCTGACTGCCAATCACATTTCTTGAGGTGCTAAAATACCAGGATAGTACAAACACCCCTAAAAAGTAGACACCCTAAGCCATCTGCTGAGAGGCATATTGAGTCCATAGAAGATTTATTTTTTTACACAAGTTTTTGGAAAATGACAAAAAAATATATATTTTTTTTTATACAACGTTGTCACTTAAATTATATATTGCTCACACAAGCCATGGGTATATGTGGAATTACACCCTGAAATACATTCTGCTACTTCTACCGAGTTTGGGAATGCCACATGTGCAAGACTTTTTTGGAGCCTGAAATCCAATGACCACTTTGAAAAACTGAAGATGCGTAACTTCCTCATTTCACTTCCTCACTAGCTATCCCAGTTTCGGAGGCCCTGAAATGCCAAGATAGCACCAATGACCCCTTTCTGGAAAGTAGACACCCCAAGGACTTTAAAAAAAGGCATGGTGAGTATTTTGCAGATCTCATTTTTTTCTCACAAGATTTTGAAAAATATATATATAAAAAAAAGAATAAATATGCTTTTGTTTTCTTTCTTCATTTTGTGTCAACAAACGAGATCTGCAAAATACTCACCATGCTTCTTTTCAAATTCCTTGGGGTGTCTACTTTCCGAAAATGGGACATTTGGGGGGGGGGGGGTTGGTGCTATCCTTGCATTTCAGGGCCTCCGAAACTGTGATAGGTTCTCAGGAAGTGTAATGAGGAAATAAAGCCCTTTAAAAGCCTGAAGGTGCTTATTGGATTTTGGGGTCCTGTACGCGGCTAGACTGCTAAAAAGTCTCTCATATGTGGTACCCCCATACTTGGGAGAAATAGCAGAATGTATTTTCGGGAGTAATTCCACATATACCCATGGCATGTGTGAGTAATAAATCATTTAAGTGACAATTATGAAATGTTTTTTTTTGTCATTTTCCAAAAACTTGTGGTAAAAAAAAAATAGTTCTATTGATTCAACATGCATCTCAGCAAACAGTTTGAGGTGTCTACTTTCCAAAAAAGGGGTAGTTTTGTGGGGTGGGGGCATTTTATGCCCAGCATTAGAAGTTTATGCCACACATTACTCACTCTTCTAACCAACTGAAGACCAAAGTTTTTTTTTTACCCTTTTTACTCACATGAAAAAAAAATCTGTATTTTTTGCTAGGAAATTACTTAGAATCCCCAAATATTATATATTTTTTTAAAGCAGACACCCTAGTGAATAATATGGTGGGTGCTGCAATTTTTTCTGTCACATAGTACTCGAGCAGCTATTTTTCAAATGCAAATTATTAATGCACAAAAACACAATATATTGGCCAATTATTTGGTAAGATATAAAAGATGATGGTATGCAGAGTAAATGGATTCCAAACATGACATACTTTAAAACTGTGCATGCCCAGTGCAATGGCAACAAACTGCATGCATTTTTAATAATATCCATAGACAAAGCTTTAAAAGCCGTTACAAGCTACCATTTTAAATTTACAGAGGAGGCCTAGTGCTAGAATTACTGCTATTGATATGATGTTCACAGCGATACCTCGCATGCATGGTGCAACTGCTGTTTACATACTGGCACAGGGTGAACGCTTTCGCATGCAGGTGCTGGCGCGCGCAGGGGGAGAGGGTGCTTTTTTTTTTTTTCTAAAAGTTATTTTGGGTTTCTTAATTATTTTTACACTGTCCCTTTCATTTTTTTTTTATCACTTTTAATACTATCACAGGGAATGCAAATATCCCCTATAATTTCAATGGGCATTGTCATATATTCTTTTTTGGGAAATCTGTGGTCTATCAGACTCTAGTTTTCTCCTCTGCCTTTACATTATTTAATCTCACCAAGATAGGTGGTATCAGATGCTTTCCCAATTTACAAATGGCGCTGTTTACATCCTGCGAAACTGAAGTGATGAAATGCTTGTAGCTTCCGATTTCTCAGACTATATAGAGATAATTGGCACCATTCTGGTCTCCAATCATCTCTATGGTCATCTGGCAGAAATACCGGCTGCCTTCTCAGGTTCCCCCTATGGCACGGGATTGCCCGAGAAGGCAGTGAAAGGCAGCTGTGAGGGGGGGCATCTTCTCCTGCTGCTTTTAAAAGCAATCCTGCAGCTAATTAGCCACTAGGATTGCTTTTACATGAGAGCCGATCGCCGGCTAAAAAAAACGATGTCAGGATGATGCCCGCAGCTGCAGGCATCATCCTGGTATAACCACTCAAAGTCCAGTGATGTACCAGTACGTCGCTGGTCCTTGTTGGGTGTATATGCTATGTTCTTTATTTTTATGCAGCCTGTGGGCTAAATGAAAAAGTGGGCTGCCAGAAAAAAGTGTGTGGTATGCCCACCATTAGAATATACCGCCCTGAATTCACTCACTTCTAATGGTGGACACACATCAAATGTGCCAAAAAATATAAAACATATATGCCGAAGCATAGGGGCCATCCACCCACTGGCCACCCCAGGCCTCCATGCTTCGGCATATATAAGTTTTTTAACTGTGGATGAAAAATCTCATCCAACAGCACTGCACACACCTACTTATGTATATTCTGAGAGCAAGACCCTGTTACTGTCAGAATAAACAAGTCAGTGCTGCAGCTGAATGACATCCTCATTTCTCAAGGAGGCTTTTCCCCCCTTTCTAAGATGGGTATTTACAAGCCGTTGGGGGAAGCTGGGCCACACGGGTGGGCGATTTCGCACGGTGCCACATGCGCCAATTCCAAGATTGTACAAATGTCTAAATAGTGGCACGCTTGAATAAAAATTGTCCACGTATAAGTGGTACCCCATATGGAAAAAGGATGACACCAAGTCCCAAACTATCTTGCCACTGCTCCCCATGTAGTCTGGGCATACGGGGGGCTCCACGTGACTATCTTTTCCCTCTTAAATTTGAAACTTATATGTATAGCCTGTTGCCCTCTCACAGATCTTCTACATCTTGACCCCATATCTGGCACGCTTGCTGGGGAGAAATTGTTTGAATGCAAGGTGTCCAGAAAAATTAATGAGGGATTCATCAACGCAATATGTTTTGCAGGGGAGTTTAGACATTTGAAAATTTTTGGTTAAGGTGATTTACGAGGGGTCGAATTTGTCAAATTCAGGGTCACCCAGAGGACAACAGAGTGTGTTGTCATTGAAATGCATATAACACATTATACTCTCATATCTATGCCTGGCCATGGGAGCAGAGAACACGGCATATGATGAATCGGGTCTGTGGACCAATGCAAACGCAATTAATTTTTTTTAGTAACACCCATGTTGAGGGTTAGGCCCAGAAAAGCTTAAAATTTGGAAACTTTAAATTCAGTTTTCATGCGAATGGTCTGGCAAGGCTTGAATTTGGGTTGGTGGCGATAAACTGTTGTGCATATAAATTGCTTTTATCCACAATCAATGCATACAGATCTTCCGTCAAAACTGCTGCAAAAAATCAAGGGGAGTAGTTAAATTTTGCTGTTTCCACCTGAAATCCTGGTTGGGTAGTGAGTGGCTGAATTACGGGTGTTGCAGAATTTGTGGGCTGCCAATCGGGATTTGCAAGCACATCTGGAAGGATACTAGGGGCTCTATGGGCCTGTGTGCAAATTTTTGGTGGCTGCGGGTCAATACTAGCGCTCGCCACCGCACCAGCTTGTACTGCATTTATGGGACTCGCCACA